CCCCTTCTGGATCCCGGAGCGCCTGACGAGGAAAGTCCTAACCAAAGGAGATGACTTCTCTGTACCTCCTGACCCTGCTCCTGACATTGGAAACCCCGACTCAGGGAGTATTAAGATGGGGAATACTGTCTGCCTTTCCTAAACCTATGCCTGTCCGCTTCAATGCGGCCGTTTTTCCGCGCTTTTTCACTACCAATTCTAGTATGAATCTGCCCTACTTAGCAAAAGACACTGTAACCGCCCCCTTAGGAGAGAACCGATCGTTCTTTACTGAGGGAAGTCTATGCTTTTCCACACAGAACCTTTCCAAGTGTATTCACTTAAAACAGCGTAAGTACGGGTGGTTCGACAAGGCTAAGATCACCGTGTCACATACAAATCCTACAATTAGTGTGAACATGCTCCATTCAGTTCTCTGGATCAATGGGACCTTTGTAAACCCCCCTAACAGCACTCATTCCCATACTACTAGTCCCCAACAACCTAAATATTCCCCCCACTGTCTAGGTAATTATGAAGGAGAGTTGTGGCCCTGGACAGATTGTCAGTCACATAAATCCACCTGGGCAGACGTAGCGCAGAGGTACACCATCTCCCCTAGGATGCTTGACCCAATACTCCCAGGACCTAACGTTACTTGGGATATGGGAGGCTGGCAGCAAGATAGGAACGTGAACCCTTTCCACAAATGGATGCTTTGTGGAATTAATGGCTCCTGTTCTGACCTTTCCCCTCTAACTGCCCTCCTGGGAGGATCCATCAGCGGTAGAAGTAATGTCTCTTGTACTCATCATTCTACTTTGACCACAGGGAAATCGAATTTCAGCTGCACCACAATACATGAAGTGCAGAATGCTACTGCTTTCCCACCTTCTCCAGTATGCGTTTACCCCCCATTTCTGTTTATACTATCCAATGGCAGCCTTGACTCTTGCTCCAATGAAACCTGCTTTATGTCTCAGTGCTGGGATGCACATAATTACACAGATGCCTTAGTGGCCCGCATCCCTCGTTGGGTCCCAGTCCCTGTAGACGCACCCGACGCCATGACCCTGTTTCGAGAAAGACGTGACTTCGGCGTTACAGCCGCCATAGTGCTCCTGATCTCCGTGACCGCAGTTGTGGCCACCGCCGCTGGTATAGCCCTGGACACCTCCATCAAATCAGCTACTGAGCTCAACAACCTTGCTGCTTCAGTAGCTTCTGCCCTAGACCAGCAATCCACACTCGATGGCAAGCTGAAAGGAGGAATAATGATCCTCAATCAGCGCATAGATCTAGTAGAAGAGCAAATGGAAGTACTTTGGCAGATGGCCCAATTAGGGTGTGAGCGTAAATACCGCGCCCTCTGCATTACTAGCATTCAATATGATGATTTTACACGGGCAGCTAACCTGTCACGAGACCTGTCCCAGTATCTTTCAGGAAACTGGTCCCAAGACTTCGATGGAGCGCTAGAAGAACTGCGGCGAGAAATAATCCACATCAACTCCACCCGTCTAGATATCTCTGTAGCAGAAGGACTCTCTTCCTAGTTCCTCAGAGCTCTCTCCCACGTCAAGGAGTGGGCGGGCATGGCTGGGATGGGCGTGTTCATGCTTGGAGGTCTCATGCTCCTACTCTGGTTGTTATGCAGGCTCCGCAGACAACACAAGCGGGACAAAGTAGTCCTTGCTCAAGCCTTAATGGCAATAGACGTTGGCACCTCTCCCCAAATCTGGCTCAACATGCTTGAGAAGGAAGCCCGGCTTTAGCTTGAGGTAGCTCTTGCACCCTGAGCCCATGTGGCACTGCACCAGGCCCGAGTACCTCACTGCTTAATCACAGCTTTCTTTAAGAAGCTCATGGTGCAAGAGGGTTGAGAAAAAGGGTCCAAACCCTTTGTACCAAGCGGTCCCAACGCCAGCCAGAGGATGCGAGGCAAAGCACTGCAAGAGGTCTTGGACCCCTCTGAGAGGCATGCCTGACTGCATAGGGGTAGATGCCCAGAAACCCCTCTCCAAAAAAGGGGCATCAGAAAGTGTGATGGAGGTCAGGCCTCTGTCTCCGCCTCTGCTGGCAAGTTCCGCTTTGAGCTTCTATTAGACAAAAAAGGGGGAGATGTTGGCAGCCGCGCCCAGAAAATGGCGCCCAATGCAGGGCAGCCGGAAGGCCCCAAACTTCCTAGTGACAAAACACCCCACACCACTAAACCACATGCTAATTACGCCTTGGCATAAGGACCAATGAGACCCACCAAATTGTTATGCTAATAAGGCGTATGGAGCCGCACCAACCAGGTCAGAGCATGAGAACTATATAAGCAAGCCTCTCCTTCCCCTCTGGGTCCTGCCCAACGCATTTGTTTCACAAAGAGCTGAAGAATAAAGCTTTCTGCAGAAGAATCCTGCTGTTGTTGCGTGCTGTTCTTGCCGGCGAGGACGGGGCGCGCGACATTACCACCCTCGCTCTGATACATAATTGGGCCATAGGCTTTGATGAAGGACTGGTTTTATATGATACAGTATAGCAGAAGGAAATGGAGTTGAAGTTTAAAATCTAACACTGATAAGAAATAATACTAGGTTCTGATTAGTGGTATATTCTATTCTAGAGACATACCCAAATCTATCAATTCAACTTACATTTAATATATTTACTCTATGAAATGTGCTCTGCTAGATGCTATGAAAAATGCAAAAATAAAGGATATGAGGAATTCATTTTCCAGAAGAGAAAAGGAAACTTACATTTAAGTTCTATATGAGAAATATAAACAACATTTGTGCTATGGAGTATCCAAATAAGAATGAAATCTTATTTGGTTGCAAGGGGAAAGATTAGGGGATTGGGAAGCAAGAAAGCTTTCACAGAGGAAAAGTCATTTGGCTGTCTACTTAAGAGTGGGTAGGATTTCAAAAAGCGGAAATGTGGAAGAAGGTCAGGCATTCCAGGTAGAGAGAAAAGCATAGCAAAGACATAAACACAGAGAAGGATATATTAGGGGAACACTGAGTACTCAAGTTTGGCTGAGGTATAAGGTACATACATGAGGAAGTAGTGGGAAATGAGACAGAAAACTTTGGTTGAGGCCAATTTGTGAAGGCTTTAAATACCAGGTTTGGAAGCATTTGAATTTGATTTGGTAAACAATGGGTTTTGGAGCATCAAAGGAACAGACAAGAACTCAATTTTGTTAGATTGATCTACTTGTGGTCTACAGATTGCAGCAGAAAGATCAATTAAAAGCTATTAAAATCTAGGCAAAAGTAATACTCTAGGACATGAACCAAAGGGTGGTGGCAGTGGAACAATAAGTGAGTCTAGGAACACCAGAAAGATGGCCTCCACAGAATCTGGCAGTTGTTTGGATGTGAGAACACATCAAAGGCAATTCTTGGATTTTAAACCTTGATAATTGGGTTCTAAGTCCAGGGAGAGGAAATCCCGGGGCAAAATACCTCTAAAAACCGAAATCAGTCAAAGGGATTAAATAAAGTTAAAATCCATTTCTTGCTCACAAACTGCAGTCCCAGGCCGGCTCTCTTTTCCTGCTCCAGCAGAAGCAAAACCGGCCCTCCTCCTCACCTCTCAGGTACAGATAAGCCCTCCCTTGCCCAGGTAATTACCCATTGATATGGAGATGAACTTCTCTTCATACCTGAAGAATGATGCAAATGTACTAAAGCCATACTTCTTTCCATCTCTGAACGCCTATGCAGATGTACTAAAGCCAGGTGAGATATTCTGGAAATATTACAATTTTACCCACATGGGTCTATTGAGAAAATCAAAGGGGGAAGAACTGAATGTGAGTGCAAGGGGAAGATAATGAGTTCCATATTAGACAAATTGAATCTGAGATGTCTACTGGAACTTTGGAGTCAGGTTAGAGGTATAGTAAAGCTTTTACATGAATTATGCACAGATGGGCAAACTGAAAAGCTAAGGTTAAAGAAAGAAAAGGAGAGGGCCAAGGATAAGTCCTTGAGAAAAGCTTTCAGGGGTCAGAGAAAAAAGGAATTGCTAGCAAAGGAGAAATGGATAAAGCCCAAAAGCCAAGATGAATGTTTAAATTTTAAAAAGATGGGTAGTTTTCAAATTATACAGGAATCAAAGGGAAGAAGTCCTAAAAAATCACTCTGGTTTCCTCAGGAAACCCTGAAGGAAACTGTTTTAGTGGCAGCAGAAGCCAGACTACATAGGGAAAAGCATAGTTAACAGAAAAAGCTGGTATAAGTTATTCTCTTAAGAAATTTGGTAGTAAAGGAAAGAAAAGAGATGGTGTGGTAGCATGAGAAGGGAAATTAATTTTTTAATATAATAAGGCAACTTTAAGAAATATCTTAAATGAACTCCAAATAAATTAATTCACCTCTTCCCATCTGTGGATAAAAAGAGTCCCTGTGGCCAGTATTCTCACCTGACCCTGGTTGACTAGCTCACTGCACACCTGTGGGTAATATGTGGCTGTTGACTCTCTATAAAGAGCTCTGCCCAATGCTCTGGGCACGACACGGTAGTACAGGCGCAAGGCTGCAGGAGAGCAGAGCAGAGGCTGGAATGGTGGCAGCACTGAGGACAGAGGCCCAGAGGACAGCTGTGTGGGACGACTGTGCAGAGAGGCCCAGAGGACAGCTGTGCAGACAGAGGGGCCCAGAGGCAGAGACCAGCTTGCTGTGTGCAGACTTGCTCTGAGTGAATGGAATTCTAGTGACAGACCTGCCGCCTGGAAATAAAGTTGGGTATAACCCTTTCACCCCAAGAACATTTTACTGTCATTTCTTTGGTCACATTGAATCCATAGTGAACTTGCCCAGGGCTGAAACCCACTGGTAAAACACCATCTTTCTCTGAAGTTGGGTAATTCCTAGATTTCCATTCTTTCCTAAAGTAGTAGAAAAACAGACCCCAATAAACATGAAATGTGGCCTTCCGATATCGTTAACAATTAAAACTAAACGTGAAAAAAAAAGAAAAGGAACCCCGACTGTGCATCCTAGAGACAAGAACTCTATTAAGAACACTGGGTTTGGAAAATGGCTTCACCCATTACTAGCTGTTTGTCCTAGAGCTTAACTAAAATAAGAAAGCTTTTTTTTAAAGACTGCTAGAGGCCCCTTTAACTCTAAAATTTTATGAGTCTTGCTCTGAATCTTTTACAGTGAAGATCAAACAAAACAATGTGCTAAAACACTGAGAGGCAGGACAACACATTAGAAAGAGTAACTACTTTAGATGAGACAGACCTAGGTTCACCATCTTGCTCTATTTTTAAAACCTGTGACCTCAGGCAAATTACTTAACCCTCTGAGCCTGACTTAATCCTGACTCACAGGGTTATTGTGAGAATTAAATGAAATAATTTAACCTTAAATCATTTCTGGGACAAGATGACAGATGAACTTATAAAAAAATATTAAGATAATTGTATAAAGGACTTGGTTTATTATAGGTGCTTGATAAATAACAAAAAAGTCACTTTGAACTCCAAGATGCTATATAGTTATTAATATACTCTTAGTTATCTATGACTTGGAGGCATACACACAGTTGAGTAGTCTTGAATTCCACACTCCCTTTCAACCTTTATTTGCCTCTAAACATTCCAATCGGAAAATCAGAAAGGCTGATGGCTAAGGGTAAAGGAAAGTTTACAGAATGTGATTAAAAGGGGTTTGTTTCGCATTAGAATTGTGAGTCTTTAGAGTTCTAAATGTTCATCAGGCCAGAGGTTAAAGAAAAGAGAACCCAACCAGCTCCTTGACTCTGACTGGAACAGAGTGCTTCCCTCCCTGGAACTTTGGCTTTATTCCACCAGGCGCTGGTAAAGCAAACAACAATCACCCCTGGGTTTCCTTTGGGCACCGAGATTGAAGAGGGTGGGAAAGGAACAGGTAAAAATGATCTAACTTGCAAAATTCCTGAATTTAGCCCTACTTTGCTGTTCCTCCTGTACCTGTCCGTTCCCCACCATACCACACCAGTGTTTGTACCCCGTTTTCAGGACAGGAATTTACAAGTTTTTCTTCCTTTGACTCAGAAACTGAGAAAGAAGAATCGGGAGAGACTTTTATGAGAATACCGGGTTATAAGGTGAAAGGTCATAAACAGTGTGTCCAGGAGGGCTCCATTTCAGAACATGCCTTGGCCACAGGCCCAGTAGGCGGCTACTTGCTCCCAAAGCTAAATACTTTTTTGGCACGTGAGGGAACCCAGGCATAACACAGAGCAAGTAAATGGTCTGTACCGGGTTCTGCAAAATGGGAAAGAAAGAAGAAGTGGGAGCCAAAGAGAGGAACTTAGAGCAAGACAGAATTGTATTAATATTTTTAAAAACTCAAAAATTCAGTACTTCATAGATGTGCTCAAATAAATACCAGCATTCCCTTTTCTCTAAGATGTCCCAAATCAACACCACCTTGATCTGTTACTACTCACCCTCTCTTCTCTTCCCCTCAAAATTTACTTAGTTACATATCACAATTTAAGAATATTGATTGATGTTATTTCTTTGTAAACATTTTGATGTTTCATATTTATGTGGACTTTCAAGCCCATCAAACTGAAAGTTCTCCCAGAAATCACAATTTTGAATTTTAAAAATTACTTCAGTGACAGTCCCACTTCTCTGCTCCCAGTAATTCAGTCAATATTGTTAATGACTGAAAACAACTCAGGCCTTGTCTGTTAACTTTCTGGCACAGGGTACTGCCTCAGGGTACCCTAAGGGTCAACATGTTCCCCTTTTTGGTCCTGAGGGTTCGTGCTGTGTGTTTGCGCATCTGTAGTAGGTGTGTGGTATGTGTAGCACGCACGTGTGCTTTCCAAAGGAGTCTTGATGCCTGATCCTCAGTTTGCTTAATACTGGGATTGAGTTGTAACTTTGTTAGGTTTAGGGTCTCATCCCAGTTAGGGTGTATGAGGAAGAAAGATCCTTAACAGCAATGAATAGCCTGCACTTTTGCTGAGAGAGATTTCTGTATAATGCTTATTTACTTCCCCATTTCAGTCCTGGAGGGGATTATCTTCCTGTTTTCAGCACAAGAAATGAGGTAATAATCTTATTATCCCAACACAGGCATGAAGCAGCCCAGGAATCAAAGAAAAGGGGGGAGAATCCATGTATTTCTGCATACAAGTTTTTCTTATTGCATTTATGAAGAATTTCTCAGGAGTCATCTCCTAAGTTGTCTTGTGGCCAGGTTGGGAAAAACCCATCTGACAGAGAGCCAAATGACAATACAGAATGAGGAGTCAAGGTCTCTTAAACATATTGTGTTCTAGTGACCCTTTTGTCTTTTCTTTCCTTTCTTACTGATTTCTAAATGGCTTAGGAAAACACTTTTAAAATATAGGGAAATTGTTCCTTTAAA